CGAGCCTGCCCCGGGATGCAGGCACAGCAAGCGGGATCGGCGGAAACCTCCCGGAGCGGCACGTGGAGCACAGTGGCAGCACCCCCGCCTGCCCGCGGCATCTGCTGCAGCTGAACCTGGAGCACAGATTTAACTGGCTCCACCAAGGCTGGGACTTTCAAGCTTGCTGGTGTGATTTAGGAGCTCGAGCCCGTGGACTTGACTTTGACTACAGCTTGTGCTGATTCCTTTTGGAAAGCCCAGTTTGGGCAGAGTCCGAGACACTTTGCATCCCTCACAGCAGCTGGAAGTGCCCTGTACGCATACTACGCAGAGAAGAGGAGCTCCGGGGGGGCATGAACCAAGCATCCACGCTCAGTGCTGAAAGTAAGTGTGTGCCCGGCTGTCAGCAGCCTGGAACAGCGCCATGTCCTGGGAAAACACGTTTTAATGACACAAACGTCAGCACCTGCCCTGTCGATGCCTCAGCCCTGGCTTGGTGCCTCTGAGCCTGACCGGATAAAAACGCCCGTTTTACTCCCCGCTCCGAGAGAAGGCAAGGAGTTTCTCACAGAAGCACAGCCTCCCAGGTTTGGTCTCCGTGCTGCCAGGCTGGGAGCTCCTCAAGCAGCGCCTCGGCTGTGCCTCCCCAGCTGCCTGCTGGCTCTCCCCGCTGCCGGCAGCTTCCCGGGGGCGGCCTTTACAGGAGAGGCCGAGCGGGAGCTGGGGGAGCCGCCGGTAAATACCAGCGCCCACATTACCCGGCAGCGTGTGGGGAGCTGGCAAGGCCACATTTTTTTTTTTCTGTGCACATGTTTAGCGCCAGCATCCTCAGCCTGCAGTTCAGCCAGCAAGATGCGCTCGGCAGCCCGAGGGGCCCGTGAGCATCTGAAATCCCAGGGGAAAGGAGAGAAGGGTGCAACAGGCAGCGAGTCTGACCGGGGCTGGGCTGCCAGCGCTGCCTGCAGGGAACCCCCCGTGCCGCTCCACTGCGGCTGGTGCCGGCGCGGTGAGGAGCAGCAGCACGGCGGGCCTCAGGGAAGCTGCCCTTCCCTCAGGGGTGTCTCGTGTCGGCAACAGAGCGGTCCCCAGCGAGCGGTGCCCTGCGGGGCTCCTCCCGAGGGCATTTCAGCCCCACCAGGCAGGTAAGGTGGTGCCGAGAGCCAGCCCTGCGGGGAGCGTTTGCCCAGAGGTGGGGAAATGTCCGTGCTGCTGAGCACGGGTGTCAGCCGTGGAGAGCGAGCCGTCGGCACCCGGCCCGTGCGCCCCGCCGGAGTGGGAGGCAGAGTGGCAAACTGTTTCTTCCATCCAAGCTTGAAAGGAGGAGACTGTATGGGAACTGAGCTGGTGAGGAGGCTGCTGGCGTATAAAAGAGCGCCTGTCGCCAGCTGAGTCAATGTGAGCCCTGCTAATGCAAGAGGTTGAAGCACGGGCTGAGAGCAGCAAGGGCCGTGTTTTCCACAGCTGATTATTTTGGCATGGAAACCACAGGCTGCGTTTCGCGAGGCATCCGTGCCCAGCAACAGGCTTTGCACCTGCCCGGATGACAACGGTGGGACGCGGGGCAGGCGAATCCCAGCGCCGCGGTGCTGAGCGAGCAGGCTGCATGCCGCAGCTCCATCCTGCGCCGCGCCGGCGGGGCAGGGCTCGGCCTGTGGCTGCGTGTGCGGACGCCCACCGAGCCCCTAACAAGCACCCTACATATGGGTGCTGTCACCCTCTCTCCTTCGCCTGCCTTATCGCCGGCTGAGCGGGTGCTCTACCCTGCTCCCCCGGCCCCCGTCGCAGCACGTTCAGAGCATGTCCATGTGCGGCGGCGCTCGGGAGAAGCAACAGAGGCTTCACCTCTGCTTCCCCAGAGCAGAAGGGGCACGCTGCAGAGGCCTTAGAATCGATCGAAGCAAATGTCACATGCAAAAAATAAACCCCCCTTTGTTTTAGATATCAAAGTTTCCGTATTTGCTCGAGCCTTGCAAGCTGTCAGCTATTTTTCCATTACCCTCCATATCACCTAAGGGGAGTCCGAGCTAAACCAGCACTTATCTGGGGACTGGAGTCCAGCTGCCTCATCTGGAACCGACTCTACCACAGCCAAACGCCGCTCGTCCCCGGTGCCGTAAGTGCTGCTGTCCTCACGGCAGCCTGCTCGCGCCGGCAAGGCAGTGGAGGGCAGCGGGGACCCTCGCCCCCGGGCAGCGGGCACGCCGTGTCCCCGGACACGGCCCCACGGCCGACTGGGGGGCTCAGCCGCTCCCAGGGCACGAGACGGCTTTTCCTCTCCTGCTCCGCTTTGCACTCCAGATCTTCTGGACTGGGAGCAGGCTGTACAGGGAGAGGAGCCGGCCCCCCAGCACCAGCTGCCTGCTGTGCAGCATTGGTCCCTCCTGACCCGGGGAGGGCTGGCATGGCCACCCAGCTCCGCATGCTGCCCTGCTGCCAGGCTTGCTGCCCATGCATTTTCAGAGGGTACGTTTTTCCTTTCCATCACTTTCGCCGAGTATAGGAATTATTCGCTGTGCTAGCTTCCAAGTTATTATTTGATCCAAGATTTTGCAGGCTTCCGCGAAGGATCTTTCCTTGTGCAACTGCACCATTTCATAGGCAGCAGGTCCTGCCTGACGCTCCCTGCCACAAAAGCGGGCAGTGCTGCCCAGAGCTCGCTCCCCGTGAAGAGGAGCTGCGAGAAGGCTCGGCCCCGCAGCCATGGCCATCACCGCCCAGCTCGGCCCGGCTGCTGCCTGCTCGGCTCTGGCTAACCTGCAGAGAGACGGAGGGGACGGAGGATGTCTCAGTTCTTCTCCAGGGGTTATTGTGGATCAGCGCTCGGCTGGCAGGAGGGGCCGGTCACGGGGGGCACCTTCAGCCGCATGCTTTGACCCATCTTCCACCCCAAGCAGAGGCTGTGGTGGTGAAACGGGATGCGGGAGCTCACTGATCAGGCTGGAAAAATGGAAAAGGGGAGAGCCCTGGCTGAGGAGGAGAGTTAGCCGTGCCGGTGGAGAAAGTCCTAGAGCTAAACACCCGCTGGTGAGTTGGGTAAGAGCGGGCACGTTCAGCCAGGAGGGGCAGGGCACGGGGTGCCGAGGGCAGCGTGCGGCTCCGCTCCCCGCTCCCGGCTGGGGCTGCTCTGTCCCTCTCCGGCACCGATCCAGAACCCGGGCTGTGTCCCTTGGGGCAGCGACAGGCATGCATCCCAGTCTCAGCGAGCACCCAGGCCAAGCGGCTCCATCCTGGAAATGCCAGCACCCTTCCCAATTCCAGCCCGTTCCCTCCTGTTGCCATGGCAACCTGTGACCTCACTGAATTCCTTGGAGATCTGCCAGCATTTTCAGTGGAAACAAAGCTAATTAACACGGTTTTCCTGATGCCCTCCCTGTCTGCAGGGGCTGGGGCTGGGGCTGGGGCCGGTTCCTTGGCCGATGCGGGCAGGCACCGTGGCGTCTGACCGACCCAGTGCTCCTGGCTGTGGGGAACCCCCTGGGATGTGGGGAGCACCAGGGCCCTCCCTGCCCTGCACAGGCTCCAGCTGCTGCCAGTGCCCAGTTTTCCCAGTTTTGCCCGGCTTGGCACAGCGCACAAGGCCAGGATGGAGAAGAGGGACCAAAGAGCAAAACGAACAGACATAAATGGAGAAACTGGGTCCTCTCCTCTCCCACGTGTGACACCTGGGAGCGGCTGCGCAGTGACCAGGGTGCCCCATGAGAGGCAGAGGGTGGGAAGGGAGGGGACGGTGCCGAGGGGTGCGCAGGAGGGACCACCCGGCTTGAAGGACTGCAGCCCTGGACATCACAGCGTGCAGGGACTGGATCAGCTCCACGCTGCCGGGTGGGGAGGTGCAGGCTGCGCGTGGGACCCGCCAAGGGGAAAGCCACAGTGGGGACGTCCCACGGTCAGCAACACACACAGGGCTGGACACGGGGGGGCTTCCCAGGACAGCGGAGGAGTTGGCACCCGAGGCTGGAGGTGGGTGCCCCGGGGAGGGTGCCCAGCTGAGCACACCCCCACGCTGAGCTAGCGCAGGTTGGGGGTCCCACCTGGCCTGGGGGTCCTGCTCAGTCTGGGGCCCACGGCAAACCAGGGCTTGTGCCAGCCCAGGGCCGATCTCAGACTGGGGGTCCACACTTGGCCTGGGGGTCCTGCTTCACCCGGGGGTCCCTGTCTGCACAGGGTCCTTCTCTGCCCGGGGGTCCCTGTCCCTGTCCTTCCTGGCCTGAGGGTCCCTTGTGGCCTGGGGCCTCACTTCGCCTGGGGGTCCCTCTTGGCGCGGGGCTCCCGCTGTGCCCAGGGATCCCGTCTGTCCCGCAGGCCCCTCTTGGCTTGGGGCTCTGGCTGCGCCTGGGGGTCCCATGTGCCCAGGGGTCCCTCTTGGCCTGGGGCTCCCACTGTGCCCAGGGATCCTGTCTGTCCCGGGGGTCCCGTCTGTCCCAGTGGTCCCTCTTGGCCCAGGGGTCCTGCTGTGCACAGGGCTCCGTGCCGGCTGGGGGGTCCCGTGTGCCCGGGGGGTCCCTCTCGGCCCGGGGGTCCTGCTGCGCGCAGGGCTCCGTGCCGGCCCGGGGCTCCGTGCGCCC